ATATTGAAAATGCTTATTTTCAATTTGCAGTTATACTGAGAAACATAGAATATATCTAAATTAAGAATAATAAAATCCAGTGCTCTTCAGTATAACTGTAAATTTAAAACTACTCCTACGATATTGTTGATATTCTAAGGAGGGGGCAGTCACCAAAATATGTCTTGAACTTGTCCTGTACTTGCTTTCTGGCTACAGTGTTTATTTTCTCTTTATCGTTTATGATTTCGTGACAATAATTACTTCAATATCAACAAAAGACATTTTTGTTGCTTTGTAAATAAATATCTTCTAACTTTCGTTAAAATACCAAGGTTTCTATCATATGATTGGCAGTTGTTATGATGTCTCTTTGTGTACAAAAACACAATATATTATTTAAATTATGAAATCCAACGTATTCAAATGCTGCTAACTGAAGAAACAGCTTTAGGATATTGTACTTGTGAATTACTGTTGCCTTCTCCCCATTTAAGTGTCCACTGTAATAAGACCTTTTGATAAAATCATTTCATAGATTATGGTTGGACAAATCAAAGATCCGTAAGATGACACTGAGGAACAGTCCTAGTTTTACAGGAAGATGTTGGTGGTTTACTGTCATTTGAATACATTCCCAATTGGTAAACACTTTCAGGGCATTCTTTTTTCCCTTTTACATAATATATGTCCCACAACCTACAGAGTATTAGTTTGCCGAATCTTAAGTATTTGGAATTAAAATGCACTTTTTTGTTTAACGTTAAATAGAATCCCTCATCTCTACCTCCACCCACCCCCCAAAATAAATAAAGCATTTCCAAATCCTTTACAGTGTGAGCTGTTCTTCTCCTGGGAATGAAAAGAATGTGAGAGTCTTTTGATGAATTGCTGGCGCTTATGTGCATCTACATTTTTCAATATACTTTTTTTCAAAATGACTTAAGCTGCCTATATTTAAATGCTTCTTTTGTAAAGATGATAAAGAGAGCAAAGATTTCTATTGGCTTAGCCCTAATCTGTTTGCTTTGTTGCAATTTTTTTTCCTTTTACTTTAACTGTTAACCTATTTATAAATCTAAATCTACATGCAAAGGTCATTGGTTGGCTGAACTTAAACCATTTTACTCAGTAAATTTAATTAAGAAAATACAGTGCAACTCATAAGCAAATGAGTTTTTTCCTAGTTTTAAACCAAACCACCCTCTTGAGTGCTGATTGCCTTGCCCGACCCCTGGTGATACAGAAACAGGCAAAATTAAAAAGGACATTAAAGCTTCATTAAATCTGAAACACATTTAGTACAGTGACATATCTGCAGGCCATTTCAGAGAAGATTACATACTCTCTTTTGTAAGTTTCCTAATTTATAATACCTTGACAATAAAAACTGGGGAAATGCAAGTAGATTAATAGACCAGTAGGGGTAAAAGATACAGAATGGCCCCAGGTCTGTCTGTCTCTGAAATATTCACTCAGAACACATGTGCTTCCTCTTACCCATAGGAGTTCTGTGTTTATTTTGACTTTTGACAGCCTCATGAAGAACTTGTTCTTCATGCCGCCATACCTGCTAAGAGCCCTTTTTCTTTTTTACCTCCTAATAGAACTTGATAAAAGGGTTCTAGGGTCTGGCTATATATTTCCTTCTACTTTTCCACAAGACAAATAGTGTGGAACATAAACACCACAGCTGCATTAGACCTAGAAGGATAGAGACATATATGGAAAGCAGGTTCCTCTCCTGGGGCCTTAAAATGACTGTTTTCGGTGCCAGCCTGATTGTGTCACTGCCTCTTTTCATTGGCATAGGATTGGAGTCCTTGGCCTGATGCTGGAGAAGCCCAGTGGTGATACTCCATGAGAGAGGATGTGGTTATCATGCTGCCGTTGCAATGGTACATACCATTTAGGGTCAAGGAACCATTCTCTGTCCTCTAACTCCAAAGAGGTCAGACCTGCAAGATATCTTAGAAGCAACTGCGCCTCCCAGGGGCATAGTTGATAGGTAGGACTGAAGTCCCACGAAGTGTCAGGAAATTACACAGAAAGCAAAGCCAGACCCAACAGTGATGAGTTCACCAGTTCAAGCACTGCCACTTGTTCCCAGGCATACTGGTACAGAGGTGCTTCCAGCTGACCAAACTGCACTACATTTTCTCTCTGTTCTCTTGCATGGTGATATCTTACAGAGCAAATGTATCGTATCAGCCATCCTTGTTTGCCTTGTGCCAGTCATGACAGAGGGGACCACGTAGATGAGTGCACATTCCCAAGTTGGCTGGAGCCTGGCCACTCCATAGAATGATTATGATTTGAGAATTGGAGGCTCTGTGTTGAAATGTGATGAGTTCACATTTTTTGCTTTATCTCACTTTTTTAAAGCCATCCATTTATCACTGCTTAATTCTTTAAACTGTAAGAACCAATAGACAGTGTTGGCACCTGCCAGCTAGTTTAGATCTTGACTGTATGTATGGTGGGCAAGTTTCTTCTGCTTGTAAGCCATGTGGACAGAATTCTTCCATGGTGCCTGATGACATCTTCAACATGTACCTGAGTGAATGGCACAGCACCTGTAGAAGGACTTGAGATAGCATGTTCTAAATGTTTTCTAGTAGTTTTTAAGCTGTTAGCTTTTTTAGGTGAGAGACTCTCCTCTTGCTGGTTTTCTAACTCCAAATGGAATTAGATGTGCTCACTTCGGCAGCACATATACTAAAATTGGAACGATACAGAGAAGATTAGCATGGCCCCTGCGCAAGGATGACATGCAAATTCATGAAGCATTCCATATTTTAATATACAAATGAAATTAGATGCAAAATTCATAATCCACAGAGCACTGTGATGATAGGCAACAGCTTTAGCTGCACTGTCCCTGCCTGTCAAGTCAGTACAGAATGGTGTGAATGCCTCATCCACCCACTGCAGTAGACCACTGTGACTCCTCCCGAATCACAGTGCACACTCTTGTCGGCCAGAAACACACTGTATTTTCAAAATGTAGGGCAAACCTAGAAGCCTGTATTGGGTAGGGGTGGGGTAGGGGCAGAGGATGGGAGAGCTGAGTCTCACCCCTTCTGGATAACAGTACATGGCCAACAAACATAATCACAGAAAACCCTGAAAGGGTTTATCTTTCCTTCATACCATCTTGTGATGTTTTTGTTATTTATACCTGAAGGGACTGATGATAGTATTCTTGAATATCCATATATATGGTGTATTTCTTATATACAAGATATGAGTACAGGGAAATGAAATTTACTAGGTATTCCAAAACATATTCTGTACACACACACACACACACACACACACACACACGCATACACATGCATGCACACACACACATCCAAATGAGTGCTGGCCCTTTCAAAGTAATCACCTTACAAGGTCATATGGCTTATTCCTGTTACATTGCTGTTGCTCAGACTGGTTTTAGAACTTTGGATCTATTCAGGTCTATTCTTAATAAAAGTAACAAAATATTTATTCTTTGTAGGTGGTTTGAGTTTTGGTAATACCCATAGGCCATTCAAACATTAGTCTACAAATAATGTACATGATCAACAAGCTGAGGGTTATAATTTTAAATCCAAGATAGATGCAGTTCTAATAAAATGATGTAGGTGTTCTGTTACTTTAAATAATTCTAAATACAATTCCAAAACAAGAGTTCAGAAATGTTTGAGCAGTGTGAGTGTCTTTGAAATAAGTGCACAACTTCTCAAGATCTAGAAAGGCAGTGTAATATGCTGGAAAGAACACTGGATTAAGTCACAATTCTTGGGATCAGACCCTAGGCTTCTACTTATTAACTGTGTGGGAACTACATCAGTGGGACTCTAGGATTCTAATCTGCAAAGTGGATTGATGCTCTCTTAGGTCCATTACCGCTTTAAAATCCCTGATGCCAGCCTAAGCAACATGGCAAGATGGTGTCTCTACAAAAAATTTTAAAAATTAACCAGATGTGGAGCATGCCTGTAGTCCTAGCTACTCGGGAGGCTGAGGCAGGAGGATTGCTTGAGCCCAGGAGTTCAAAGCTTCGGTGAGCTGTGATCCCAACACTATACTCCATCCTGGGCTACAGAGCAAGACCCTGTCTCTAAAAAAAAAAAATTCCCAATGTAGTGATTCTACTTTGAAAGTAGTTATAAATACACATAAAGAATGTTAGGATTAAAAATGGGCCACATTATGAAGTTGCAAAATTTTGCCACTATTTGCTTTAAAGTTATGATGTGTTTGTTAAATTTTATCTTATTACTTTGTATCAAGCCTGTTCCTGGTTGAATCATTTTACTTTTATAGATAAGGATCCAAAGACCAAACTTCAGTTACCTGTGCAGAAACACAGAGCAGTTTACAAATCAAGCTAACCTGGAAGCTCTAAGGATTCACTTTCCCAATTTTAGACTTAGAGCTACAGTTCTGACTTCACAGTCTTGAAATGGCCATTTTCCCACTGGTGTTAGCTCTCTTCTTCTAACTATAGATAGAAAATGGGTGAAAAAACTAAACAAATGGATGAATTATTATGGCACAATTTTCAGTTTCATAATATGGTCCATTCCCCGCTTCCTACAACCCTTTATTTATACTTGTAACTGAAAACTCTACAGAGCTGTGGGCAAGGAACAATTAGATGTTCCCCTTTTACAAGAGGAGAAAAGCCACCAGAGTTTTACATCTCTGTCTGGAAGAAACTGTCATACACATGTAAATGTGAATAATGCCCACAGAGCTGAGAATATCGCTGAGAGAAACCACATAAGGGTAATATTTAGTTATTAAAATTAGAATGTTTTGTCAGGGCTGCAACATTGTCCATTGAAAATGTCCATTCTAAATACAGCTCTTAATGTAATTACAGCAATAATTTAGTTCATACATTGGAGGTTGTGAGCTTTTTTATATTTGCTAGATGGAATTCTGAAATTTAGTGCTTGTCTGTCTTAAGGAGATCTGCCCTGCATGCAAATCTATAACTAGACAAATATTATTTCCTTTCCCAGCTTGCTCTTGGGAGGTTTCCATATCCTCAGGTAAGATTGTTCATTACTGCCGTTTGCCACTGTGACATTCATTCCTATGTATGAAGGTGCAGGGAGCAATTGTGAACATTTGAGCCACATACAAATAAATCTGTCCTGTTAAATTGAAAAGTGATATCTTAAAGGAGTCATTTAGAAGTCTCTATTGATTTTTGATTTTTTTAAACTCTTGATTTTTTTCCCCCTTTGTTAAAGGTTGAAAGCGATCATCATGCTCTTCCTTTGTGTGACATTCGAGATGGTTTTTCTTTTCCTAGTCCAGTACTGTGTACTCATATTGAGGTTGGAAGAGATACCCAGCCTTTTCTTGATATACTTTTTGAGCTGTTGGATTCAATTAAAATTATTTGAGTTAAAGGATTAAAATGAAGGTTGAGAGTATCTAATCTAGGTCATTATTTTTGCTAGGCAAATAATGGGCCCCCAATTTTATATGAATGTGATTTTTAATATATTCTTTTTAAAGATTTTGCTCCTTCCTATCCACATTTCTAAGACAAATACTGGCATTATACTAGCATTATGCTAGCATTGCTGACTCTAATATTTATAATATTTGTAATGTCTTTAAGATTTTTATTATAGAAGGGTGCTAGCACTTAAAATATAAAGCTGTTTTGTGGTTTGAAAATGATTCCCCAGTGTGTGTGGGGAAATAAGTGAAATGTCTAGAGGGATGAAAAATGAATGGTTTGACTGTTTTCCTCTGGTTGATTCTCACTGTTTTTCTGGCATCTTGGTCTGTACAGGCCAAAGTGCCTGGAGGCATGTCTGATTTAAAGGTGGTGTTGGTTTCTGCTCTTTAAGCATCTATTAACTTGCTATTATTATGCAAATAAGTGTTGTATTACACATACTAATTTATGCATGGTTAGATTATGCAGATGCATCACAAACATGGTTATTGAATAATAGGATGGGGCTCATTCTCTCTACCATCTTTATAAGCGGTTTTAAGCAAATTCTCCTGGTACCCATGTAGACATTTAAAGACTCTTCACTCACTGAAATGTCTCTCTTGTATTCTTTTTTTCCATAGTTAAAGCTATCAGATAAGTGAAAGAGAAATCCTCCTACTTGTTAGGTTCAAGAGTGTTAGTCTCGCTTTTCAAATTTGTAGACTTCTTTGTTTAAACATAATCTTTTTCTTAAAGTGGAAATCTAAAATGTAATTGCTTGGCATGCATGCTAGCATTTAGTAAGATTTTAGCGTATACAGCCTTGCTGCTTAGCTCTAGGTAGCCCATCAAATTAAAATCACATTTTCAGGATTTATAGCTCATTAGAATATTTATCTTGGTAAGCCTTTTATTCTGTCAGTAATTTTTAAACAATTCACTGGCCAATTTATACAATCCCCTAAAATTTTGAAAATGAACAGAATAAGCCCTATACAATATATCTGTCAAACAAGTCTTTGTAGAAAACTTGTAAGCCAATAAATAAAAATTCCAAAGATTGAGAATGTAGCTATATTCTTGAGATTCCTAATGTCTGGAGTAATTAATCACTGACATTTGGTAAGTGATGAGTCTAAGAAACGGATTGCCATTGCATTTGACTAATGAAGCACATGAAGGCTGTGTCAGATTTGGGAAGACGCTAATACCTTTGCAGTGTTGTTTTCCTGAATGTCTAAAGTATATGTTTACTTAATCAGTCAAAGTTGGAAAATTCTAATACTATGCTGAACTCCCCAGTTAGCAATAACCTTTATGCCAGAGTAGAGGAAAAAACTGTATTCATTGAACCATGCTAGCGTGTTGTCACCAAATTGGTACTTTTACCTCAGATAAAAGAAGTAGCTTTGATGCCATCAGACCTATTTCCCAGGCCTTTCAACAGAAGTTTGAATGCTTCGTTGCTAGAATCAATAATGACTTTTGGTGGAGTTGGTATTTACTTTACAGACTTTATACTGTAGAGTGAAGGTTGGGAAAGGATATTTTATAAATGCCTTTCCTGTTCCTTCCTTTTGCCCTCAAATAAAGCACATGCAGAAGAAAAATGTATGTTTTTATAATATCACAGAGACTGGATTATGAAATAACACCTTTTCTTTGGCCTGTATTATCTCCTTTGAACTCACAGCCACTCTGTGAGATAGCCTCCCCTCGTAAATCGGGCAAAAAATGGCTGATTTGCTCACTGTTGAACTGCAGCTGGTTTGATTTCATTGAATCCCAAGCGGAGTGGGCAGGAGTGAATCATAGAGTCTCAGGGTCGGAAGAGATCATAGATATCACCGAGTCAAACTTCTCTACAATGTCTCTGAAAAACAAATATCCACACTGATTGAACACCTCTAGTAATAGGAAACTCACTACTTCACAAAGCAGCCATAGGGTCAAAGTTATGTTCTATTTACCAAACTGAGGATTACTTCATCCTAATTATCATCCACTAGTCTGATCCTTGAACACATGAAAGCCTTTCATATGTCCTTAAGATCACATCGTTTTGAATCCCTGTGTACTCGGGGCTAGGGACAGTGCCAGGGAATTGGTGCTATGAACTCAAAGTCAAATCAGGATAGTAGATGTAAGAGTGGCCTGTTGGAAAGAGCCCTGGACCAGGAGCCAGAAGATTAGAATTAGAACCCAGCTCTACCACCAAAACACCACAGACCTTCATTCTTGCTTTTAACTCCTTGAGGCCTCGGTTTCCTCATCTCTAAAATGAGGATCCTGATACCTACCTTTCCCATCTGATTAGAGGAGGCACGCTGATCAAGTGAGATTATGGATGTGAAACTACTTAGAAAAGTACTAAGAGCCGTCCTGCTGGCCCTAATGTTGGGCTGCAGTACAAAACAGAATTTCCAACTATCAACTGAAGGTCACAAGGGAATGCTCTTAGCAACCTGCCAGCCTCAACTGGAAAAGAGCACAAAATGAGCAGAGGGTAAAGCTGGGAGGAGGAGCCAGCCTCAAGACTAGCGTCAGTGCTGCTGACAACGTCATTAGCAGCCCCTCTTTCTGATAGTGACACAGTGTGTATCCAGTTGGGGCGCAGACTGGGAGGGGTGTTGGGAGGATATTAGGGAGAGTCAGTGGCCTGAGACCAACATGAAGATTAAAGGGCTGGGTTTTTGTTGAGGTAATCTTTGTCGAGATGATCATTTTATATGAATTTCATTGTTTTGTGGGTCAGGTGTTTGTTAGTTGAAAGCACTATCTATTTTAGTTTCCTTTAGGCCTTTTGCTCAAATAGCCTCATTGGCATGCAGTTTAGGAGTCTGTAGGAAAAAAGGTTTGGAGCCACGATAAATGCATAGTCGTATTACTATGGCTTATAATAAGAAGAACAGTGGTGTCTTGGAGTCATCTAGCACTTTTCCCACATACAGCTCCGGAGCACCTTTTTTAATCTGACTGAGGCTGTACATCCCACCTATAGGGATTATTATTTCCAGCCTCCAGATGAACAGACTGAGGCTCAGAGATGTGAGGCACCTTGCCTTAGGCAGGAATGGGTACAGTTGAGTCTGGACCTGCAGGCAGTTGAACCAAATGACTGGCTGTGTGACCTCTTAATTTGGTTCATACCCCTGCTTTCCTTCCCACTAAGCCCCACCAACCCCTTCTCCTAGTTTGCCTTCTCTGCCCTAGGGAGACCTCTTGTGTAGTTGGGAAATGCTTAACATTGGAGGGTCGTGCTGTTGTAGATGATGACAAGACCATTCCCTAGAGCCCTTTTGCTTTTCTTAACGTGTGTTTAGCAGAGTGACAGGGCATCCAGAGGACCCCAGTGCCATTAAATTCTAGGTGCCTGAGAAGCATATTCTGCAATAGGAGAACGAAAAATTGCATTTTTAAACATCTTGCAAACAGTGCCTCATTGCCTGAATAATTTAGCTTTAATAGTAATCTGGAAAGATGTGCAGGTCTGGACAAGGACTGGAGCTCTGTATAGTTAATCATGTAGATTCAAATTCAGTTGACTTAAAAAACATGACGGTGGGCAATGATTTGTTTAATGACACCATAATTTAGGAGAAATGAAAAGGATTGCCTGCTAAAAAATTGTCATCCTTCATTCAAACTTTACAACAGTGCCCTGCATTAGGACGATAGTAAATCCATTAAGGAGACTTCTCAGGGGATGCATCAGCTCTGGCATTGGGAAATTTGGTAAGCAAGATGCCACGGGAAAGTGAAGATAATACAAACACAAATGTATTTAAAGTACTTTTGCATGTATAAAAATATTGTTCTTCTTTTGGCTACAATTCCTGATCTTGGTTATAAATTACATCAAAATGACCTGAAGTTAAAAAAGGGAAAAAATCTGAGCAAATAATGCCCCTGGTATTGTAAAGCTTTGAATGTTTTCACACTCCATTAATTTATTACTTCTCTTTCTTCATCTTTAAATTTCATTTTTTTTTTTTCAAAAATTCCGGCTCCCTGCTGCTGCAGTGATTTTCATCTTGTTGTTAATTTTCCCTGCTCCATATGGAGCTCCAGACATTTCACCTGGAGGCTGTACTAGATTTTGCTGTAGTGATCGTACTTCCGGAGGCCAAAACTGTCATTTAGGGTTCCTGGTGCATCTGTCTGCGCCAGGCTTTTCACTGGCATGGGAGAGTGTGAATAACAAATTGGATGCACCTGAGATTCGGATGATTAGTGTGTTTTGTGAATCTCCACGACTTGTAAGCAGATAGCTCTGGGGGAAGGAGGGAGCTGAACAGCGACTGTGGGTGAATCTGTACTCACACCTTACATTTGGGGCTTTGCAAGGGAAGTGCAAACATCCTAGGCAGTCTCAGTGCAGAGAGAGTAACAAATATTTCATCCTGCCTTGTCATTGATTAGAAAAGAGCCTTTAATTTCATTTCACCCCATGTTGTGATTAATTTGCATTCTTTGTCAGAAGTTAATGGAGTTTTTTATGGTTCACTCTGAAATCCTTGAAGACATCAGACTTGATCTGATGTTTATACAACCGCCAGCGGAATTTTTTCATTTGATTGATGGCAAGCTTGA